GGGCTTTAGAGCTTTTCTATAATTAGCTAATTATATAAAATTATATAACTATATAGGTCCGGTATTAATATAAAGTAATTAGTAACTTTATATATAAATATAGTATAGTTTTTAGTATAGCTAGTCTAATATATTATATATTTATATATAAATACCTGTAATTTCATTATTATAATATAATATATTTTTAATATATTCTTAATATAAAAATTCCTTTATAACTCTAGACTTTTAAAAGTTTTCTCTATATTAAAAGCAAAGTATATAATATAGTTTAAGTATTAAACTCAAAAGGCAAAAGATTATAAAGGCTCTAATAATTATAAGACTTTATAAATTTAAATAAATTTGAGTATTATAAAGCCTGACTTTTAAATTATATAAGAACTAATTAAAGAATATTACTTTAAAGTATTAATTATAAATTTCAAATATATATATATTTATAAGGAAATAAGACTCAAAATAGTACTAAGCTAATTATAAAATACAGGAAAAAGTATATTAGATATTAGGCCTATTTTTTCTTAATTACTTTAATCTTAGTAAATATTTATATATAATTTATTAGACCTTATATAATAGATTTACTTAAAAGAAATAAGGTTAATTAGCCTAGGGAATTTAATAATAATAGTTAGATTTCTGTCTAGTATAATAAGTAAAGTACTAGTAATAGCCCGAATACTTTAGGTTTTATTTATAAAGCTAAAGATATTATATTTATTAATTCTTTATATTTAATAAGAAAAAGAAATAATATATTTATATTTTTAATATATCTATTATTATAAAATAATACTTATATAGTTTATAAGATTAATTATAGTTCTCTTTATTAAAAGAAAAAGAATAAAATTAAAAAAGAATCTAATAGCCTATTACTATTATTATTATTAATAGCTTTAATATTATTATTATTACTATTAGAATTAGCTTTAATAATACTTTCTATATTATTTTATAGTTTCTAGAGATTAATAAATAGAGAAGAATTCTAATATATATAAGTTAATTAAACCTAAAAATAAGAGTCTATAAAAGAAATAAAAAATAAAAGCTAGAATTAAAAAAAAGAATTATATATATATTTTTATTTACTTACTAGTTTATTAGATTCTTTCTTACTTTTAAAGTCTTATATCTATATTAGTAAATAATATTTTTTTAGGCTCTCTAGGCCTTTTTAGTTTATTATTTAATCTCCTTAAATTATTATATTTTCTAAGTATTTTCTAGCTTTTTATAAGTAACTTTAAAATAGAGATCTTTATATATAATTTTATTCTAGTATAAAATAAGAAAAATTATTCAGATATTTTTAAAGTCTAGATATATACTATAATTAAAAAAATTAAAGATAATTTAAATAAAATCTAGTAAAACTATAAGTTCTTAGGCTCTTTTATTATTAGAACTAGTATAAAATACTAGTTTATTTATATTATTAATAAATTAATAATAGTAGATAAATTTACTAATATAAAAAAGAAATAAGAAAATAACTACTAAGAAAATATATTAGAAAGAATAAAAAAGACTTGATTATTTATTTTAAATTAAAAGCCACTTATTAAGAAACATTTATTAGAATTTATATAAAGAATCTAATAAAAGAAATATAAAAAAATTTATTACTAACTTCTTTAGAAAATTAGATAGTTCTTTATTTAGCTCTTTAATTCTTTATATTATTAAATACTTATTTATAGAGAACTAGTTATAAAACTATAATCTATAATTTCATAAGATTAGATCCGGCTATATTTTAATTTATAAGACTTTAAAGGGCTTTAGATAACCTATTACTAGTATAAGAAGCTATAGCCTAGATAATAGCTTAAATAACTCTTATATTTATAGTCTATTAAGCTTATATAGTAATATAAATATTACTAGAAAAGTAGTTAGATTAAATAATATAGCTTATAATAAAAGAAAATAATAATAAAAGTAGTTATAAGGTTATTAAAGTAAGAGAAGCCTAGAGTAAAGCAGAAATAGTATCTAGTAGCTATATAGTAATAATAACTAGAGAAATAGATATAGTAAATATTTCTGGAAAAAAAGATATAGAATATTTATATAATAAAAGAACTTAATAATTTTATTAGTATTACTCTTAAAAGTAAAAAGAAAGTTTCGAAAATAATATATTTAATAATAAATAATACTTATTTTAATATATCTAGTTATTCTATAATTGGCTTATTTAATTATCTTATATTATTAGAAGTATTATTAATAAAAAGCTATTTCTAAATAAAGTTCTAGATTATTAGAAACTATATAAATATTTTTCTGGCCTATATATTACTTATATATTTTATATTTATTAGAATAACTTATTTAAGAATTCTATTTCATATAATAATAGTATTATATTTACTAGTTAGCTTCTCGAATTCTTCTAATATTAGTAGCTATCCTAAAGCTATATATATTCGAACTATATATTAGAGCTAGTAATAAGTTTAAATATATAATTAATTATTATTTCTATTAGTATTTCTTATATAAATATTAGCTATATTTATATTATAAGATATAAGCTTCTAATAATACTATTTTAGTATTTCTTTTAATAAAAACTTATTAATATTTATATTAGTATATAAAATTATATTACTTATTCTAAACTAAATAATTATTAAGAATTATATTATAAAGCTTTATATTTATAAAATAAGTCTAGTATTATATCCTGTCTAGAAGCTTTATATATAGTCTAAATAGCTTACTAGCTATTATATTAGGCCTAGATCTGTTTTTTCTAATTCTATAAATATTTTATAAGTTTATAAATCTATATATCTTATTTTAGATCTATTATATATAAAGTACTAGTAAAGTAATTCGGTTTTATAAGTATTAGTAATTATAACTTCCGGTATAGACTAGTTCCTAAAAGTAGTTCTATATATACTAATTAGAATTAGTTATATAATCCGGTATTATAATACTAGATCTAATAGCCTTAATAAAAAATAGTATAATTATTAGTATCTAATACTTTTTTTTAATAATAGAAAAAATAAGAGATAGATATAAAGAAACAGAATTACTTATATACTACTAGTATAACTAGCTTTTCTAAAGCTCTTATTACTAGAATTTAACTTACTAATTCTCGGTACTTTTCCCAGAAATAAAGTAGTTCTCTATATATATAACTAATAAATCGGCTATCTATAAGAATATAAAGTATACTTTAGTAATAAAAGAAAATTCAAAGTCTTAATTAGCCCTAAAAAAGTAAGAATAATAGCCTATTTAAGTATAAATCTAAAGATATTATTATATAACTAAATAGATAATATTATATAAATAAATATTAATATAAATATATATCTCGATTTCAAATAATAATAGCTTATTATATTTATTAATTAATTAAATCTAGTCTAAACTAGATATAATATATTTTTCTTTCTTAAACTATATTTATTATATTTATAATATAATTACTTCGGGATTTAGAAGTTATAATATTATATATAAGCTCTTCTTATAAATAATAAAATATATTAGTAAATAAGGCCCTAATTTTCTAAACTAGAGTAAAATAGTAAAGTATAAAAAGGCTAACCGGATTACTAGTAAACCTTATTAATAGAAGTATATATATAAATACTACTATCTATAATCTATAATCTGCCTATTATTTAGTTTACTTTATAGTATTATAAATAGTTATTTATTTGCTACTTACTTATTTATTATAGTTATATAATAAATAAGACTAAGTTTCTTATATATATAAATAACTCTAGTAATTAAAGCTATATAGCTATAATTCTTAAAATTCTTAAGTATTTCTTTATTTATATTTCCCAGATAATATAGGATTATAATCTATATATAAAGAAAAGATATATTTATTATTTGAGTATATACTTAAATATTCTATTCTTATAGTTAGTATTTAATTATACGGGCATTAATATTAATTTTTTATAAATCTTTTAATCTTATTATAATTACTTTATAGGAAACGTTTATATAAGCCCATTTAATAATAGTATTATAATATAGTAAAAGATTTATAAAATATTATAGTATTTTAATATAATTAAATAAAGTATTAATAGTATTAATATATTATAAGTTCAGGCTATATATTACTATTATAAAGCACTTTTAGTAATATAAGCGCTAAATTACTAGAGTAATAGTGAGGCATACCCTAAAAATAGAGGGGCAGGTATATACGGTTATTAGAAATCAGAAAATCAGAAATCGAAAATTAGAAAATCAAATCTCGCTTCTCTGTTTTGTCGACTAGCTAGCTGTGGGCCTTAGTACATACTATATAGGAGCAGTTTAAAATATACCTTTTTGAGTCGATCTGCAATATTAATAATCAGCAAATAAGTGCTATGGAATCATATAAAAATGCCTACTAATAAGAAGGCCAAACGACGGACGATTTTGCAGCTAAATTACAAGTATACGAGCGAGAATTAGGCTATACTAATAAGCGAAGGCTAGCAGATGCGTTATTTTCAGGGCTATGGCGGGAGCTATAGACTGAGATATCGAGAAGGGGCCAGCCGCTATATATATGAAAAGAGATGCTCCAGCTAGTACGTTCGATTGAGACCGCGGATCGGTTATTTGGGCCCTCCAGGGCCTCTAGAGGGGTGCAAGTCAAGGGGGAAAGCCCTAGGCGAGCAGGAAGCCCTGAGCGAGCGGGAGCCTGTCGATATTATAGTAGGAACCATACTAGTAGCAGGTGTCGGCAAGGTATTTGTTTCAAGTATCAAGAGAAAGGGCATTATGCCTCCAAATACCAGAACTAGTTAATAATATACTTTTTAGGTAAGCTTTAAATATACTGGGCTATTACGGACATTATAGAGCTATTGGGTATGACTGACTATACTAATGGCCAGTGTTTTAATAGCCTGGAACCCATATATTATATGTATTTAGAGCTAGTAATCTGGTATCTACAGGTATTCAGTAGATCAAGGGAGCTGGCCGAACGCCTGAGAGTAGCAGTTTGAGAGCGATTGATTTGAGAGCTATTAAGTATATATCCCAGAAACAAAGCAATGGCTAATCGTTGGGGACGACGTTCCAGAGAGGGAGGCAGTGGCCATCACATAGGCACGAAAGCAATGCGAAAGCACTACGAAAGCAATGCGAAAGTAGTACGAACGTACGAAGCACAAAACACCCTAGAACCAAGTACAAAAAACCACCGTACGAACGAATATAAAGCGAATTGGTAGAGCAGAGCAGTTGGCAAGTGAAGTGTGGAGCTGGGTTTTGTCCACAAAGGTGGTTTCCCTGGTTCTGAGAACCCGAATAGGCATACTGCAGTACGAAGGCATGGAGTATATGGAGCTTGCGAAGGCATATGAAGCTTATGGTACGTGGAGCCTGCGATACGAAGGGCGTACGAAGGGCATGCGAGAGTATAGAGCCTAGGCTCTTGGGGACCAGAGCCCAGAGAGAGAGGCGATGTAATACGCATATTAATAGCGAGCGTCCAGCTGGATTTGGTAGCCTAATTGGGCTAGTACTTATATGGGTTCGCATTCCCTAATTGGGACTAGTGCTTCCGTACATCTAGCGGAATACTAGATTCTATATATAAAGGCATGCGAGCTTTGGAAATGGGCATTGATTAGTTTCTTGATAGGAACTAGTTCTTGGAATCAATTATACTTCCACGCTTCACTCCATACTTTACCTTGGATTCCTACCCCTTACCTTGACTACTTGTATAGCACCCTGCTATTGTGCGCCTCACAAGTTAATACAATATAGTAAATACTTTACTTGATTATAGTTTTGTCTTATTTTAATTATAGCTTTATTAAAATACTATTATAACTTTAGGTTTAAGTCTCTTATATGAATTTTTTATTACATTAATTATGGTAGAATGAATAAAGCCGAGGACATTTAATAGCTCTAGTATTATACCCTTAGAAAGGTTTAATCTTATATGTCTCTATAACTTTTACCCTTTGCCGTTATAATACCAAGCTATTTAGAGGCAAAATATATAATGTATATAGAGACTGCACGTGATATTAACGGCATCCGACGGGTAGAAACCTCGGTTGCATGTGATGGCATGTGAAAGAGGGGAACTTCGGCAGTTGGCAGGGACCTGGGAAGCACCTACTTCCAACTTACTATAGTTAGCACACGTGGTCGCCGATTTATAAGAGACCTCTCTAGACCTCTTAGGAGAGACAGAAATTAGTTCTACATCAAATCTAATATCTGTAGTTCTTATACTTCATTGATTTATCTATTATTTTATTATCTACTATTAAATACCTTATAAAATAAAGGATATATAAAGAGTTAGTTAAGCTTTTTTGGTTTTTATATCATACTATTCATTTCATTCTACTATTATTAATCTCTCTATTCGAACTCATCTAATAATAACTACTACTATAGTATCCTTTAATATTTATAATATTTTGTTATTAGTAAAAATGAAGGTTATTACTACTCTTATCTTTCTTTTTTCTAGGTTAGTCTATCTTATTATGAAATATAAATATAATTACTAAATATATGAACCTATAGGTTAAGCTTAGCAAGAGACCATAGCTATTGTACTTGCCAAGAATCGACAGGCTCTGCCAACCTAATTAATAGCGCTACTTTCCCTTGTTGCCAGGCTTTGGTTAATCAGTACGGTATGATTCTTTATTGTACAGTCCCCTCTTCTTCTATAAAAATTTCCCTTTTTTACCAGGCTAATTATTTCTTTAGGTAATATGTATTATATATATGAATTAGCTGCGGCCCAGTTCCCAGGTAACTATGTTAGTATTCTCTAGAATATAGTAAAACTAACTTTAATATTATCTTTTTCATTAACTATAATTTCAGTGCATAGCAGCTCTTCATTACTCGATTGATGGGGATGGCTTCTTTGAATGTTGTAACAATAACGGTGCCGGAGACTCGAGCTGTGGTTCTTGTTAAAGGAATCAATCGCGAATCAAGGTCTCGTCAAGCATATCGACTGAGCGGGCCGCAACAGTACGGGATTGAAAGGCATCTCTTCTGCATGGAAAAAAAGTAGCCGAAATAAGCATATGCGGCCGCATCAAAACATTAATATCTCTTATCTAATACTTTGTCATTTGCTCTCTAGCTCTCCTACTATAATATAGCCTCTTAGTATAACTATTATATATGTATTAAAAAGAGTAAATAGGGTTCGGCCTTTCTTTAATCTATTCTTAGTATTTTCTCGAACTTGGTTTAGCTAAATATTAGTCCAGAAATTACTAATTATAATAGTTCTTATATAAATCAAGTTCTCGTTTTTCTATACTTTTATTCGAATTAAGATATCTTATTTTATATATATATATTCTTTTATTTTAGATTTTTATTATTTATTATTTTTAATATATTTAGAACTTTTTTATTATCTAAATTTTAAGTCTCTAATAATTCTAGCTTAGTATCTTATAATACTCTTTATTCTATTTTATTTAAAACTTTATAATCTTTTTAAAAGAGGGATTTATTTTATAAATCTATATTATTACTATTAATATTATTTAAAATAATTAATATAATCTAAGTTTTATTAATTAATTCTATAATCCGAAATTTTATTAAAAAAGTCTATTATAATAGTCTAGAATAAAGTAATAATTATAAAAGATAAATATATACTTTTTTATTAATAAAAAGAATAATATTATAAAGATAAATAAGTTTAAAATAATACTAATATATAAGTTCTTTTATAATATAAAAAATAAATACAAGCCTTAATCTAATAATAATAAAAATATAATATTAAATAAATTATTATAATTAAGCTAATAAGAAATAATCTAAAATCTAATATAATATCTAGTTTTAATATTATAATACTTTTATAATAATAATATTAATATATTAGAACTTTTATAAAACTTATAATATTAGTTAAATTATATAAAAAATAATACTTGCTTAAAATTATATAAAAATAATAATAAATTCTTCTAAGTTATATATTAAAAGTATTTATTTCTAATATATAATATTTATATATAAAATACTAGTTTATTTAAGAATTTAAAAGAAAAATAATATAAAACTAAATAGATTAATAGCTTTTATAAAGCTTAAAAATAAGCTTATTTTAAAAAAGAAAATAATATTATAATTTAGCTTTTAATCTTATTAGCTAATATAATTATTTATATTATATTATTTATATTCTATTACTTATATTTTATTACTTATATTTTATTACTTATATTTTATTATTTTCTAAATATATATAATATAATTATTTTATTAAAAATATTTATTTAAAATATATTAGAAATATTTAAAAAGCTAAGTCTCTTATAAACTAATATATTATAAGATATATATATTTCTTTATAGCTTTTTATATTCTAGTTTTCTTTTTTTTAGCTTTAAATTATTTTTATAAGAGATTTTCTATTTTGCTTTCTAAATCTATAATATTATATTTATAATAGTTATAGCCTTTATAATAAAGGTTTTATTTATATTTAGTAATCTATTAATATATATATTTTAATATAATTAGAGAATAATAAATAATAAAATTTATATTTTAAGAATATATTAAAGTCTTATTCTTTCTTTATTATAAAATTATTAAATAAATAAATAAATGCCTGCTTTATATAAATCTTAAAAAGAAAATAAATAGCTTTCTTTTTCTTTTAAATATTTAAAGATAATTAAAAGCCTCAAAATAATATTTAATATCTTTAATATTATTAATAGCAAACTCAGTTATATTAATGCATTATTAGCTGGATGGGACTTCTTGATACCTTACAGAAAAGATAAGGCGCTCACCCCATAGTTTGTTGCCATGGCCAAACCCAAGTACAGTTGGACTGCAAATGAGGAGGTCGTCCCCCTTCACCTCTGATGGGTCCATAAGTTGGTGTTTTATTTCTCGCTATCACCCTTCCTCGTATATGTAATATCATTGTGAGGTGAGTAATTTCGAGGCTTTAGGGGCTGACTTGTATAGGAGAAGTGTGAGGTTGTTGTGAGGCCATTAGCTGTATTGTTTGGAATATTCAGCAGCATCGAGTGGAGGCAAAGGTATTTTATGAGATATATATGCATTTCATTCAACCTCAAATACATAACGAATTCGCATAGCCAGTTGATAAATATCGTTCAGATGTCTGTTCTGCTTAAATCGCATTTAGACGGTCTCGACGGCTCGACGGGGAGCTGCCGTTCCATGATTCTCAACAGCTGTGCTGGGAGTCCTAGGTGGACCTGTGGAGTTTGGGCCGTTTGGCTGCTGAGGACCAGTTTTATTCTTCGACTCTTCCTCCTGTTTCTTCCATTCTTCCTCCTGCTTCTCCCTCTTCTCTTTTCGCAGGCGACATTTCCGTTCTCTGACGTCACTCTTCAATTTCTCTGTCTCTGTAGCTGCGGTGTCTAGAAGTGTACGGCTCGTCAAGCCCCACTTTAGCCAAAGGCTGTATACACCGATCTTGGCAACTGTGTGTGTTACTGCGTACTTGTAGGTGAACCAAATCAGGGCACGTATCCAGGTGCTGAAAGCAAGGATAAATATCGGTATGATCATAAGGAAAGAGATGGGAACTTCATCAGATGAGTTTAACAAACCAAAAGCCTTTGCCGGGGGATAACTTACACATGTATTTGAATTCATGGGCGAGTTTGACGGTGCCTTGGCCAAATTCGGAGGCGTTCATGCCGAAGACGCTTGCCATGAAAGACAAAGGAAGCTAGATCAATGAGTAAGACAGGCATATTCATAGACCTCGAAGGTTCAAGCGACTACTCACGAAGAAAATCGTAACAACGGTAAACATCATGATCGACCGCCCTTGGCTAACAGCTTCCTCAGACTGTTTAACTGACTGCCAAGCTTGGACAACACTTGCTTGTTGTTGTTTCAGAGCAAGCAGATCTGTCAACTAAGTGCAGGACACAAATTAGCCGCAATAACCGCGTGGATGATAGATAAACTCGAAGCATAGACTTACGCTACTTGAGGTGCTTTCAGCCGTCCGTACGAGTACCTCCAAATCTTCTATTCTCTTGACTACCTTTGCCACAAGCTCTTCAGCATTGACTTTGAACCAATCGTAAATTTGACGTTTGTTATCTGTCTCGTCTTTGTTGTTCGTGTGCTCGTCGGTTCCTTGGTGATTCGAAAACGAGGATGAATGTTGATGAGGATGACGCAGATACCCCGATGGAGAGTCCGATCCTCTTTCATCTTGGCTCCTAGTAGCATCGAAGTTAGCAGTCTGGTTTAGGAAGGCTTCTTCTGAAATGTCCGCTCTGAGAGCACGCGAAGACTGTCAAAAATAAGAAGGGGCATCAGGAGAACCTACACTGAAGAGCCAGCCCCATTCATCGTCCCGGTCCTCCTCAAGGGTCTACCGTGGAAAGAGAAACGTCTGTTGGGATCTAGAATGTGCTCAACATGCAATATGAAGTCCTTGAGAACCTTTTTTTGAGTCCGGTTGATATCCAGCATGATCTCGAGTTCTTCTATGATGTCTTTGATCTCTCGCTGAAGAATTCCCTCGGGATAGATATCGAGAAGTGGAACATGAAGGTCTGAGATTGCCTCCGGATCTATCTTGCTTTTGGTTCGATAGACTTTAGCAGCCTCCTTCGTCCAGCCATAAAGTCGGTCGAATGCGGCCGTCTGCTTGTTCGTCTGAATTGTGGTGAGTAGGCGGCTTGTCAGTATGCAACAGAGAAAAGGAGTACTTACAACATTGCCAATGGCTTCCGAGAACGCATCCATCACCTGGGGCTGCCGATCCCGTGTCTTGACCCGATCAAACAGTGTACTCGAACACTCATCAATAATCACGAGCGCGAGGTCGAATACTGAGCGAATATGGTTCTGGCGCGAGTTCTGTAACCTCATCCGGATACTTTTTGTGCACGCTGGATGCGTCGGTCTCCTGCTTGTTTGCCCCATATCGTTTCGGGAAGCAGGTGATAATGGTCTGTTCGTCAAGAATCCACATCCATAGCTGGTCGACCATGATTACTCTTGATACCTTCCTGATGTTTCCCCGGCATGCATCACATCCATGTTCGGGAGTTATCTTCTGGAAATCGTGCTCCGGCCATCTTCCTGTCTTATGATTAAAGTGGTGAAAGCTGTCAGACTTAGTGCTTCGATATACGACTTGGTCGCGATCTCGATTTTTGGTTGTGTTGAGTGTCCAGTAATAGGACTGATCCAGAGTTCGACGAGGGTGAAGTGGAAGCTCCGCGTGAAGATAATCCTGAAGGAGTTTTTTGTCGCGGTAATTGGCCATCTCTTCGTACAATCTAGCTGCATCAATGAGATATTGGCCGAGAGGACTGCTGCTCCTCACTCGACCGTTTTCAACTGGCAATACCTCCTTTACTTTTCCGTATCCCATTCTCTTGACTAGGGTTTGAAGCGTACCAACTCTCCCCGTGTCTTGTTGCTCCAGGGTTGGCCGCTGCGGCACTGGGGGGATTGGATCTCGAAAGAGAGGCAGGCACCATTTCTGGGAATTATTGTCCTTGTCACGAGGAACTGGACCGGGTGCGATGATTTGGCCATTACTAGTCGGCGCATTGCCGACCATCTTGCTGGTTCCTGGGAACATTCCAAACCAGTTGGTCTTCTCGGCTTCGGCTGGTTTCCACGGCTTGAACACAACTTTCTTGAGATGTTTCCTCTCATCTATTCGTTTGTTCTTCTTCTTTTGCTCTTCTTCCTTTTTAGTCTTCTTCCACTTTTCAGTAATGTTTTCAATCTCAAGCGCAAACTTTTCCCGCTGCCGATCTGTTTCCCAGTGAAGATAAGGCATCTTGGATTGTACTTCGTAAGCCACCCGAACGTGTCCACGGACATCACTATGAAACTTACGAATAGAACGATGTTTTTGGGTGACTGCTCCACGCTTTTGGGATCTAGAGCTTATTAGCGAGTAAGAGATGTCTTCCAAGATGTTGCATGTACCTGAGGACACTGTGTCACAAAGAGCGCGCATGTGACGGGCGTGCGGTGGTGCGCTGCGTCCGCCGTGCAGTTGACCGCGCCAGAACTGAGGACGGAGTATCATGTATGACTGTGTCTTCTCATTCTCGTGAAGTTCGCAATATATTCCATCGCATTTGGGTCGCTTTTCACCATAGGATCGAGCGATAGCTTCCTAGAATTGAGAAAAATGCGCTCAGCCGGGGAATCATCTTCAAAGTGAGCAGATAACTCGTACCTCGACCCACTGAAAATCCGCAGTTAGCATGCCGTCTGGAGAAAGAGTTGCTTTGATGCGTAGCCTGATCATTGGAAAGGGTTCAGCACACACTTACGGTCATATTGTTCACAGGTAGATGGATGTATCTTAGTTTACCGCGAGCGTCGCCTTTATACAGGGGATTGGCGTCTGGATCCTTCAGGTCAGTCGTCTCCTTGAAAACCTCGCCAATTTTCTTCTTATTATCCAAGAAATGGTGCTTTTTGGGAGTTGATTGATGTTGGCCATCACTCTCGCCGTCCCATATGTCCTTTTCTTCGTACTCGATCATATGTAAATTGTAATCCTTCTCAGGTTCGTATTTCCCCCGCTTTCCCTGACTTCCGGAAGCTATAGGCCCCCCCGCTTGTGCCGTCGTATTCGGGCGACCTGACTTTAACCGCCAGTTCTTTACCTCGTCCAGATACTTGTATTGTTCGGACTTTTTCCATTTGGTGGCAGTCTCCTCTATGTTCTGGACGAGCTGCTTAGTTTCCGTATCTCTCGCAAGACAACCTCGCAAATAATCAATGCGACGAATCTCTGTATCGCAAGCTTTTTGCCACTGTTTTAGTTTGTCAATTGCATCGATTTTTGCTTTTTTTTTTCGAACTTTGAAGAGTTCGGTTCGTGTTTAGGTACTGCTTCCTTGTCCAGCACTGTCTCCTTTCCCTTGCCCTTCTTCGTCTTGGCTTGAGAGTGTTCGTCTCGCTCTTCCTTCAATCTTTGTAGTATATGGTCGTACTCGTGTTTGTAGAGATCATTGCCGGGTTTGAACAACTCATCCCGCTCCCAACGCTCAATACATCCAAGATAGCGGAGGACATGGTTTTGGATGTTTTCGGTATGTCCGATCTCACTGAGGCACGTGGGCTGTGAATCGTGTTCGCCGGCAACCATTTTGGAATTTGGAAAACAGTGTTGGATTGGGTGAGGGAAGAGAAAATGTGAAGGAAAGATAATTAGATAACTTGGGGGGCCCTTTATCCCCAGAAACATCTGCAGAGCCTCAGCCCCACGTTGGGGGTTACACAAGAACTCAAGTCTCAGCGCAACCTCATTTTCTCGATAGCGGATCACAGGTGGTATCGCTTAAACAATGCCAGATACGTTTTGATGCGACAATGCAGCCTCAAAACCAAAAGTAGTCGATTGCAGCAAATGGCTTGCATGTATCCAATAAGATGCCCCCTGCGTCATAGCTGAATGAGAAGGGTGCTGCGATTCCTCCTATGCAATTGCGCAATATGCAAAAAAGAAAGGAACGTGCCGATGGATAAGTGGATAATCAGGTTTTGATTGCTAGGGACGGGAGAAACTCCACACTCCTCTGCCGCAATCGAGTTGGAAGAAGGAGAGGCTCAACATCCGCTGCAGATGATGTATCGATTACGTAACATGTCTCTCTGATTAGCCGACAGATTTTGATAGGAAATACCAAAAAAAAAAATCGAAAATTAAAAATAGATTTTTTTTTAGAAAACTAGTATTATTATAAGTATAAGATCTAGGGCCTAGAATATATAATTAGAGTATCTTTCTTTTAATAATTTAAAGCTAAAAAAGAGAAGAGGATCCTAAGGGAGCTTTAGAATAAGAAAGAAAATTTACTTAAGCCTTAAATATATATTTTATTTAATTTCTAGCCTAAGGCTTAACTATTAGCCTAAAGCTTAATTATTAATTTAAGGTAAGCTACTTTATTAATATAAACTATTATAATTTAAGTTTTAATATTTTAATTATTTAATTATTTAATATATATAATATAATTATATAATCTAAAATAATTTAAATTACTTTTATATAAGATTAGTAAAGTTATTATTATTTAGAAATAAGAATTATAGTATTATAATATTAATATATAATTTTTAAATTTACTAAGCCTAAAGAAATTTAGTTTATTAGTTAAGTTACTTATAAAATATAAAATTATATAATTATATCCTATATTTTATATTTTATTACTTATATCTTATATCTTATATCTTGTAATTATATATATAATTTCTAAAGAAATAGCTATATTATACTAGAAACTCTCTAAAAATACTAAAAATAATATTTCTTTCTAATTATATATAAATTCTCTAATTTGGCCTAATATTAGATTTCCTAAATACTTTATATATTTATATTACTTTTAAGGTTTTAGTTATATACTAAAGGCTATAGCCTTTTATATATAACTTTCTTTTTTATAATATTCTCTTATCTTATATATCTATTTTCTGCTTTATTTATATTTAATCTATTTCTTTATATTTAATTATATAATATTTATATTAATTAAATACTTGAAAGTATTTATTAGCTTTAATTTTATTATAGAATCGGTAGAATTTAATTCTTTCTTAATTTATTTAACTTTTATAATCTCTTATTATTTATATATTTAGTAGAAATATATTATATTAATTATTAGATACTTTTTTTTAAGTAATTTCTAATTTAATAAAATATTTATATAAATTACTAGTAATAATTTTATTTCTAGTATTTTATTAATTATAGATTTAACTAAAGTACCTATATTAAAGCTATAAACTATATTATAAAGTTCTAAAGCTAGAATACTTCTAGTAACTCTCTTATATTTAATAGAGAACTAGTAAATAATATTAGTATATCTAGTTCTATTTACTAGAACTAGAATATATCTAATTTAAGAAAAGAAATCTTTATTATTTATAAATAAAGTATTTATAAAAATAATTAAATATAAGAATTCTTTTACTAGCTTTATAAATATAAATTCTCTAATAGTATTCTTAATTTACTATTAAATGCACTTATTAAATATCTTTATATTAGTTTCCGAGAATTTAATAGTATAAATAATAAATAATAAGTTATATAAAGCTTTTAGTTAATAAACTAATATAATATATATTTCTTTAGTATATTAGGTAATATATTAGTTCTTAATAAAGAAATTTTAATAAATAATACTCTTATTATTTATAATAATAGTATTTTTATAGAAATAATTTAAAGGTTTTTATATTAGTATTTTTATATAAAAGTAATTCTAGTAATATTTATATAAATAATACCTTTATTAAACTTGAGATTATAATTAATAATAAGATATTTATATTTCTTAGCTAAAAACCTAGCTTTTTAAAGCTTTAGTTATTTCGTTTTTATAAAATTATTAGTTCTAATAAATAAAATATTATTAGTTAAAAGGCTAATAATTTCAAAGAATTATTTATTATAAAGAAAACAAAAATTATAATTTAATTATTTTATAGAAAGCTTATTAATATAATAGAAATAATAAGTTTTAAACTAATAATTTCTAGTTTCCGGTATATTATATAGTAATTTTATAATTTTTAGAACCGAATTATTATTTAGATTTAGCTCTTTAGTAAGTTTATAAAATAAAATAATATAAAAATTATAGTTAAATAAAATTATTAATTAAATATAGTTCTATAGTATTTATTATTATAATAATAATACTAAGAATAATTCTCTAGCTAATATATTAAATAGTAAATAATTATATTAATATTATATATTTCTTATTATTATTATAAACTTAAATAACTAGTTTTAACTTCTTAAACTTTCTTTTTATATTCTTATTTTTAATTTTATTAATAAACTAGAAATTAAAAATATATATTTCCTTTAATATTTGAGATCTAAAAGTAATTTTAAATATACTTTTTTTTTTTAGAAAACTAATAACTTTAACTTAGTAAAAGTTCTTATATAAGTTATTATTTTATAGAAATACTATAAAATTCAGAGTTTTATAAAAGTATTTTCTATTATACTTTAGTAAACTAATAGAAATAATAAAAGAAATTATATTTATATTACCTTTAGCTTTATTATAAAATTCGGGAATAGATTTAAGTTCGGAAATATTAGTAATAACCTTAATATTTCCTATATAAAAGAACTTTATAGAAATTAAATAAAAGATAATATTATTATATAATAAAGCTAGTATATAGTTCTTTCTATTAATAATTACTAGCTTATATAGTTTATTTTAATTATTAGATTAACTAGTATTTTTTTATATTATATAAGAATATTCGAATTTAAAAGAAGTTTATAAATATTAATAATACTAAAATTATTTCGAGTATTTAAGATATTTATAATCTAATATCTAGTTTAAAGCTTCTAAATTTCTATTATTACTTTCTTAAATATTATTAATTACTATAATATAATTAGTAATAAAATATTATATTTAGTTATTTATAATAAAATACTATAAATTAAAAGAATTAGAATAATATTATTAGATCTAATAAAATTATTAATAGTTTTAAAAGCTATTTAAAATATAGTATTCTTATTAATTCTATTAATTTTGGTTATAATAATAAAATAAATATATTAAATTAAGCTATAATAATATTTTATAATTTTAATAAAATTATAAGCTTTTATAGAAATAATTTTAATTTTAGTTTCTATAATATTTATAAGCTAAATAAATTTCTTATTAGTAAATTACTTTCTAGTATTTATTATAATCTAATTAAAAAAGCCTAAATAGATATTAATTTAATATTACTTTAAAGTATTTCAAATATATAATATATATTATAATTTCCAGATATCCGGTATCTGAAATGCCTTACTAAATACTAGATACTTTCTAGATATATATAATATAGCTGCTTTACTAAAGAAATATACTTGAAATATACTAGAAATATTTAGAAAGCTAAGCCCTTTTAGAACTAGTATATTATAGGATATATATATTCTCTTATAATTTTCTATATTCTAGTTTTCTTTTTCTTAGCTTTAAATTATTTTTATAAGAGATCTTTTATCTTGCTTTCTAAGCCCTAAATACTATACCTATAATAGTATTTAAAGCTTACTTTCTTTAATTCTATAGAGGATTTCAAATAAACTAATTTAGAACTATTAGTAATATAAGTATTACTAAAATAATAGAATCTCAGAAATACAAGTAATAAACTCTAGAATAATAAAAGCAAAAAGCTTTAGAATTCTTAGAAAAATCAGATATTTATATCTTTATAAATATATACTAATAATATATTAGAAATCTTTCTAAAAACCCGAAAATCGAAGAATCTTAAATAAAGGCTATTTTTTAATTAAGTTCTAGAATAATAAATATATATAGGCTAGTAATCTAACTATTATCTTTAAGTTCTATTCTATAATCTTATAGGCTCTATATATATACCAGTAATAAAACTACTAGAAAAGATATAATAAAAGAAAAATATAATAGATTAATTTCCTAGAATATTATATAACCAGAAATTATATTAATTTCTACTAAGGCTTCTAGTAAAGTTTCTATTAGTTCAGGTTATTCTATTAGTAGCCTTTTCTAAATTAAATATTCTATTAGTATTTCTAAATAATTTATAAATAAATCTATAGAAATAGAACTTTCTGCTTTTATTATAAAGCTTTTAGAAACTAATAACTATATTATTACTAGAGAATTATATAAATAAACTAAGAAACCTAATACTTTACTTTTAGATATTAATATTATTATAAAAAACTATTAGAAAAATATCTAAAGAGCTATTTTATATAAGAATATTTATAGTTATAATAAAGCTATTCTCGAGAATACTAAGCTCTATAATACTAAGCTCTATAATACTAAGCTCTATAATACTAAGCTCTATAATACTAAGCTTAAAAATAAAGTTAAATACTATATAGCTATAATAGATTAGCTTATAGTAGCTCTAACTACTTCTGCTTTACTTGCTCTAACTATTTCGAATTTCTCTTAAAAGAATTCCGAACTATTTTCTGCTTATTTCTATCTAGAATTCTCTATATCTTATATTTTCTTTAGAAATACTAGAGTTATTAAGTTTCTAGATCTAACTTTCTTTATTAGAGATTATACTATCTTT